ATAAGTGATAGCAAACAGATCAAAGCAGATTACCTAGTAAATAAACAAAACTGCAAACTGAGCTCAACACACTAGATGGGGAAGATATAAATTAGCAAATTCTCACCCTGAGTGATAAACAGGCTGGAATTCTTAAGGCACAAGTTGCCATGGCTTGGCCAGGTTTTCATACACAGACTAAAAATCCTTCTAGCCTGGGACCATCACTTCCCACAGTTCAGTCCTTGCCCCTCAGGTGTTTCCAGGTGTGTTGTTGCAGGGAGAGTGAGGTACCCTCATGATGTCATTGTCATCCTTTTATATCTTCTTCCCACTTGCTGGAAAGCTCTTTTGCTGTGACTTGGATCAGACAGTTCCCATTGTGTAGTGCTATTGCTGAGCGGTTTCTATTGTACACAGTTCCTGGGGTAATCCTTGTGCGCATTTCCTCTATAAGCCATTAATATTGTTTGCCCTTTTTATTGTTGTACCTGAAAGGCTGCTTGTGGGTGTTTTCAACCTCACAACATGTTTCAGTAACACTTACATAGTCAAATTTCATAACTTCAAATACGACGATAGCACATACAATCCAATGAGAGATTAATGTCTAGCAGATCAAGACTTTTAGAATGATACCTCACAAGACATACTTTGTACAAAACATATCCTAATTACATGACAGTGGTGAATATTGGGGTGTTAGGGTGTCACACCTGCCTATAGCCCTTTTTGCAAGAGTTGAGGTCAGGGACAGCATAGCCTTCCCAAAAGCCCCGCCCCCTGCCCCTCTATGGCCCCGCCCCTGGCCAAGCGGGAAACCAGAGCTCTGCCAGGGAGTTGTGGACCCTTCACCTGCCCAGGGTGGGAGGGCCCGAGAGCTGTTCCTGGCCCGTGTCCTCACCCCCAGGGCAGGTGGAGGTTCTGTGGCTCCCCCACAGCTGCCCGGGCTCCAGCTGCCAGCCTGGCCCCACCAGTTCCGGCGCCCCTGGTTGGGGTGTTAGACCAGGTGGTCTGGCCAAGTGTCCATTTAAGTGTTCGCACTTTGCTACCTCAGTGGGACTTTGCAAGGTCAGACCTAATGTCCTGTGTCCAGAATGGCATGCATGGCGCATCGCATGCGTCATGTCATAAAGGTGGGGGAAACTGTTCATGTAGAAAAGCTGACCTTGGTATGGGCACTTCCTGGAGATCATACACTGCTGGGTTTAGTTGCAGTTGTTTGAACTCAAACTCTTATGGTAGGAGTGAACCTTAGAGATGAGTTGTTGAAATGATACTGGGCGAAATTCACCCCTGCTTTACCTCCAGCTCCAGGGAATGTCTACGCTAGGAACATGGCAGCATCGATAAAGACACTTACTACAGTGACAGAAGGGGCTCTTTCCTCACTGTAATAAATCCACCTCCCCGAGAGGCGGTAACCAGGTCGATGGAAGAATTCTTCCTTTTACCTATCGTTGTCTGCACCAGGCGTAGGTCAGCTTAGCTACACCACATAGGGTGTGAATTTTTCACTGCCCATAGCGACGGAGTTAAGCAAACCTAACTTCATAGTGCAGAGTAGTCCCCAGTGACTGCCGTGCAGGTGCTCCGGGATGAGCTGCTGAGTTGTGTTTTAAACCCTTAGTCTTTTCATTTTTTTGCTCATCTCTTTTCTCCCTTTGCAGTAAAGTTGGGATTCCCACTGGCTTGTCTCTGGAGGGAATCGTTCACCCAGGCCTGGACAACAGTGCACACCTGGTAAGGGAATTCTTTCTGAAAGATTTATTTCTCAGAGCCCGACCCTGCAGCTGGTGGAGTTGTTGGTAAAACTGCTGTCATCTCCAGTGCTGCAGGGCCTGACCTCTTACATAGTCTGTTGTTTTATGAGCTCTGAATTCTCTTGTATGTTTCTTGCATTTTTAGCCTTAAAGCAAATAATTTTCATGACAGTCTGCTCACCAGTGATGATGTTTTTGTGATTCACGGCATTCATCTAGCATCTGCTTTAGACGAAGTTCATGCAAGGAATGTTTCTCTAGTCTACAGTTAGGAATGAACCTGAAAGCCTGTGTTTTGAATGAAGTCTTTGCTAAATGTGAACTTTCCGATACAGACTGAAACATCATTTTCACTTTTAAAATACCATTGCCCACCTGTCATTTCACTCCTTCGGATTTGTCAGTCTGATTTGTCAGATTTGTTGTCTCTGGCACAATAATGATAATTTGCCTTTTTAGTAGCATTTGGCATCAGCGGATCTCTAAGCACATGACATCACTCACAGTGCTACAGAGGCACACACCTGGCTGGAGATGCACACACAAATGGACACACATAAATGTGGACATGGATACACACACTCTCTCTCTCTCTGTGTTTTCTTGTAGGGGCTGTACTTTCTCCTGGGGGTTTTGCTTTACTTCATTCTTGTTGTTTTCCCTTCATCTAAGATAAAAGAAATTGTAGGCAAAGCGTACGTGGAGACCCACAAGACAAAGCTGTCAGTACAGGAGGCAAGCGTCCCCATGTACTGCTGGGGGTGCTGGAACAATGTGTACAATGGGGGAGCTGAGAGCCATTGAACCAAACTGCAAACCCTCTATATAATCGCATCCACTTCAAGCCAGGGGGTGCGGCAGCACCCCTAGTTCCAGCACCTATGCATACTGCCTTGCCAAAGTGACTGAGTCATGCCCTTGAGGGGCGAGATGACCAGTCTGTCTCCATGGCTCATTCCTTTACAGGCCTCGCTGCTGAGCATCTCCCCAAGCGCCCAGTTGTGATGGTGGTTTCTGGTCTTCAGAGGACCCCAAACCCTCAGCAGCTCGGCTGGGACCTTGGCGTCCCGTGTCACTGGGTTCCTGAGCGCCAGCTCCCCAGCCACAGCCTGATTTCTGAGTTTCAGTGACACCCAGAGAGCCAGTCCCCAGCGCCCGCCTGGGTGTTTTGTGTTGCTCAGGCAGCAGAAAGCACATGGCCTGCTCCAGGGGGCAGCTGGGGGATCCCCTGGCCAAAAGAATTCTTGGGTGTTGTACAGCAGCCGTAGCTGCCGTCATACCGCGTGCTCCCAGCCCCCATGGTATGGGGGCAGGGCAGGAGCGCCTTGTGCTCAGCAATCCCCAGCCGGTAGAGCGGCCCCCGGAGGCCAGTCCTGCCAGTGGAAGTTGCAGCAGCTTTGAGGCTGCTCAAAGTCGTGCTGAGGGCTGAACCAGCTCCAGGCTTGGGGCTGGAAAGTGGCTTAGTGCCAATTCACCTCCAGGTCCGAGCACAGTGCAACTGGCCCCCAGGATCCAGCCCTGTGCTGGACGCGCTTTCCCCAGCGCTGCTCCCTGACCCCCAGAGGGCTCAGCAGGCTCTGTGGTTGCTGAAAGGTTACAGCTGTCTTGGAAAGGAAATGAACTGCTCCTCTGTGTCCATGTAAAGGTGACGAAGGCCATTGACCTGTTTGGTGAAGCTGTTGAGAGCCTCCTGCTGAAGTACGGCGAGAAGGTGATAGGTGGGTGCCTCTGCGGCTGCTGTCAGCCCGCTTCTAACCAGCCATCAATCAGATGATGATAAAGGACATTCCCACCATTTGGCCTGTTGTAAAACCTGTCACCTGGGTGCTGAGCCAGGGCAGGGTGTGCTCCGGGAGCAGTGCTTCAGTCACCTTCTGCAACGCTCTCTTCTCTCCCCTTCATCCTCTCCCCATGTCCCCTCTGAATTCCTTCCCGTGACACACTCCTTGCTCTGCCCACCGCACCTCTCTCTGAATACAGATCTAGGTGGTGCGCATCTATCCCTTGGGGATTGAGATGGGTCTCCTCACTGCGGCATGCCGGGGTGAAAGCTCCCCCCGTGCCAGCCTGGAGCGTCGCTGGGCTGCAGGACTGCGGTGCAGCTGGGGTGTCCGAGTAGCCCTGTGTGCCTGCTCTGCATCCAAAAGCCACCACAAAGCTCTGCAGGCCAGGGTCGGTGTCCTGCTCTGTGTGTAGCACCAGCATCACGCAGCCCTGATGCTGATGGCCTCCCGGGGCTCCTGAACAGCTGTACACTATTCATACCCTTCCCTCAGTATGCACATGACATTTCATTAGCACCCGGGGGAGCCAGGATCCCACAGGGGCACCAGAAGTGATTGGCCGGTGGGTCTGTCCGTTTGTTTCATTCTTTGGGGGCCGGGGCCGCACAGCAGTGTGCTGTGGAGCATTTGGTTCAGGAGAACGCTCCGGTCTGCGTGTTAGAGCCAATCAGCCAAGTGAGCTCCCCATGCCAGGCTCCGGCAGCATCACGCCCCCTCCGCGGGTGTCCAGTCGGTGGGTGGGTCCTTGTAGCAGTTTCTGGCCTGCCAGTGTATCTGTGTGGTGAGAGCCGGTTCGCTGGTTTCCGTGCAAGCTCTGCTGAGCTGCTGTTAGTTTTCACTAGCGTAACACGCGTGTGCGCACACGCCCCCTCTCACCAAAGTCTCTTCTCCCAGACGAACAGTTTCATCTGAAACGCGTGGCCGACGCTGCCATTGACATCTATGCCATGGCTGTGGTGATCTCCAGGTACGTGTGGCTAGCAGAGGAGAGCGAGTGCTTGGGAATGCCGTTCCTGGCCTGGGCTGCCCACTGCTTGGCTTAGGCTGACCCTCCCCGGCTGTGGGAGGAGCTTGTGGGCACTTGCTTGTCCCTGCCCCAATAGATTGTCTGCCCCAGGAGCCAGTGCAGAGAGCGTGGCAGCAGGAGAGCTGCCTGACCCATCGAATGTACTCATCCCTGTAGCACCTGGGAAGGCAAATAAAACTGAGTGAGACCCTGTGTCCCTCGAAGGCCAGGAATGTGCCTTTGCTCTCCCAGTCGGGCGTCTCTAATACAGGGTCGGATCCCAGCCGCTGGTGCTGGGGTGAGCATGGCGGAGTGAGTGGGACATGCCACTCCTGCACGCAGGGCTCATTTTCCACAGAGAGGCCCAGGGAAGCAGGGGAGTCCATCCTGTCCTCTGGAACCCGGTCGCTTTGGGACGATGCTGTATGGCTGGGCTTGTTCCGTGTTACTGCTCAAACCCATTCTGACAAGTGCATTTTCTGCGCTCACAAAGTCCTGTCCCTGTGGCCCTTCCCTCGTGGCCACTGTCTTGTCTCCGCAGGGCCAGCCGCTCTCTGTCTCTGGGACAACCCACCGCTGAGCACGAGAAGCTCTTGTGTCAAACGTGGAGCCACGAGGTAGGCTATGGGTGGCTGAAGGGCCGGGTTTGGTTCACTCGCTGTGGCAGGCGTATGGGCTTGT